TTGTTGTCATTATTGTCAGTTTAGAATATCAAAAAAGGAAAGCTTTTAAAATGTTTATCAATTTATAATTTTTTCGATTAACTTATAGAATTTCCTTTAATTTGTAAAAGAAAAATTCAAGTAATTTTATAAATTTAAGATTCATTTCATAAAAATATTTTAAATCATAAAATATGGTTTTGAGTCTGATTTCATAGCTCAATGTGATGCATTTTACACAAAATTGAAGAAAAATTAAATTTTTTTCTTCTTCATGCTACAAATTTTTGATATAAGACCCTTTTGTTACATGATAAACATTTAATCTGTAATCAAGTTTCTTTTCACTTAGTCAGTGGTTCCTAATGTTGTGCAAACTTGTTCTTTATGTTTTTGCGATATATTTTGCATTTATGATATACATAGACAGTTTTAAAGGCACACAGTTCAAAAAATGATTAACCATTAAATTGCCTCCAAGATCCATAGACCTTAATCTTTTGATGGGGTCACTTTAAAGACATTATTTATAATTTTTTTAAAAAAATTTATGTATGAATTTAAAGAATGCATCTGGGCAGTATTAGGAACTATTAACAGTATGAAACTACAAAATTTGTGGAACAGATTTGCAGGTATGCATAATATGCATGATCACGGAACCATAGTTCCCGAAAAATTTATTACAATCTTGGAAAATTTTATAGTATTCATTATATATATATATTTTAAATCAAACTTCCTCTTTTCTATCCCATAGTCAATAGTCTTCACCAAATATGTAAAAAAGAAAGCCAAGCATAAGGTAAGACAAGGTAAGTCAATAATTAGTTTAATATATTCAAAAAAACTTTTTATTTTAAAGTAATAAATGCTGGTATATATATCATCTTAATTAATATAAAGTTTTATAAAAATTAAAACACTTTTTAAAAAAATTAGTGATGATTTAGAATTAGTGAATTAGTGATTCTTAATTACAGTTTGTTGTGTAACAAAAGGGATGCACATTGAGTATTTGTAAATGAAAAAAAGAAAACCAAAAATTTTTTCTTCAATTTTGTGTAACATTTGTTGCCGGAAGATTTCTGTATTGGTATCTGCGGCAAAATAATCTCCAAATTTCAGTGACTTCCTAGCAATAGCCCGTGAAAAAATAAAAAATTTGAAAACGAGACCATTTTAAAGGATAACATGTAGACACTTCTAGACAAACCTTTAAATATATGCTGTTATTTTTGAAACTGAATTAAGTTTATTATTTATCTATTTTTTTCATTTTCAAGACTTTTAAGGAATAGTGTCCATGAATTTTGAAATATTGCCACAGGGTTTATTAATATAGGTTATATTTTTAACATTCTAATTTGATGAAACATCAAAATTCAATTAAAATCGCAAAAAAAACCTACTTTCTATCTCAAAATGAACTTATTGCACTATCAACAACAACTTATGCATTATGTATATATTATTATTATGTAATACTTATTACTATATGTATATATTTTAATTTTTGAAAGTTTTAAAGCCTTTTGAGGCCTTGGTGATTGTAGTTGGTACAAACATTACTGATATAAAAATATCCCCCTTGTTGCTTTAAATCTAATAGTTTTAACTAGTTACTTGGAGCAGAAGAAATTTGGATGCTCTATCTATTTCACTATATATTTATGCATAATTTTAAGTTTCAGATGCGGGATATAATAAATAGCGATTTGGCGGAATACTGAATAGTTGGCCAAAAAATTCCATTGGCTATTAAATGACCAAACAGCAACATTAAAATACATATATATATTTATACATAAATAAGCTAGTTATTATTGAAACATAATCAAAACTTAGCTATATTATCAGTATGGGGTAAAGGAGAACAAACTGTAACCGAAGTATTTAAGATAATTAGAAATTGAAGTAATTAGAGATATTTAAGATAAATAAAAAACTGACACTAACAGCTATTAAAAAGTTGCAAAGTTGTTAAAGAGAGAAATAGGGAAATTTTTTTTTATTGAAATGGAACTATAATGATAAAAACAATTATTTCTCAGAATAAAAGTATCCATAAAACATAAAAATAGATATAATCTACTCGAAATGCTTTTAAAAATTGTGCTCTCAAAATAATGCCCATAAACGATAAAGATTATAAACAAAAAGCAAAACAAGAAAAAAATTATCTTAAATTTTGGAAATTTTTTTTAAAGCTTAACATCTATTCTCAGTTTTCCAACTGTCGTATTTTCAAGAAAAAGTGAAGAAAAGAGCCTGATAAGAAACCTTCTTCCCTCTTAATTGTCGCTGCATAATGAAATAAACATTTATAAAAACAAATGTTTTTTTTTTTTTTAAGAAAAGAGAAAGCTTGATGATAGGAACCAAAGCAAAAATCGGTCTTATTTTTTTAAACGAAAAATGAAACACTAAAAATCTTCTAACTTTTTCACATTGCATTTTTTTGTTGGAAAAAGTTGCCATAAATTAATAATATTCATAAAAAATTGTCTGTATAAATGTTGTGTACATACATATATATATATATATATGTGTTTAACTACTTTATAACTTATTCAAAAATTTTGGGCACAGAACATTCTTGGGAAAACCTCTATACACCAGACCTTTAGCGATTGCGGGTCCCTTTTCAGTATCAGAGTAAGGGTTCAGTATCAGAGTAAGAAGCCAGTCAGGACCTGGAGAGGCCTCTTGTGTGTCTGTAAGATACAATGAAATCGCTGGAGCATGAGAAAGTTTCGAGCTCCAACTTCAGCTCCAGAAAAAACACAGCGTGTGTGTTCTGGGTTCTGTTTAAATTATTTTAATATTTAAAATTCGGTCATCAATTGTGTTTATCTTGTGCAATAAACTTTACTCAAAATTATAAAATACTTGATATTACTAATATTATCTTTGAAATGTTATTTATTTAGAGTTTATTTGTTGGAAATGGCGGATTGGAGTGCAGCGTGACACGGGAATATCTGGTGGAAGTATTTGGTGCCCATGGAGAGATTAAAAGGATAGTAATGCTTCCAAGAAAATCCTATTCGTTTGTTGTGTTCAACACCATTCATCAAGCTTCAACTGCAATCTCCCTTCTTAATGGATTGAAATTGCCATCCAACTCTACTTTTTACCTAGCATTTGTGAAAGGTGAAATATTTATTCATTTGATCTTGTTATTTATATCCCTAAGGACCTACAAGTTTTAAAGATAATAAACTGAAGAACCTTGGCTAAGAGAAGAATGTCTTGGCATAGACTTGTTGAGAAGGCCAAGGCCCATCCTGGGCTGTCGTGCCAATGAGAATAAGAAGAATTTATATCCCTGATAGCAGAATTTATGTCTGACCTCAACAGAGATTTACAGGATGTGTAGCGTTTTTAAAAAGTACTTAAGGATGCTTATTTTTGATTTTCGTTTTTTTAAAGCCCTTAAAGGTGCTTTTTTCATTGGGTGTTTTTAAAAAGTGCTTAATTTTCCCTTTACCGTCTTGATTTTCACTTCGAATTATGCCAAAAGACACAATCCACATTGTTCTATTCAACATTTTCGCAATTAATTCAACCCCATTCTATTTCAGTGTATTTGTCAGTCCGTAGCGTATGAAAACACCATTCGTTTTACGTGATTCAAAACAATGCCAAAAGTTATTATTTTTTTTTTTGATGTGACGGTTAAAAGAAAATAAAACCGTCAATTATCAAAAACTTTCCAACTCTGCCAAATTATGATATTTTTTTAAAGTGCTTAAAATTTTTTTTTCAGTGCTTGAAAAGTGCTTAACAGGTGCTTATTTTTTGTCCAATAATTTGGCTACACACCCTGGATTTATTTTGTAAAGATTCAGCTTAATCTAGCGTATGTAAAGTATAATTTGAAAATATAAGGCCTTTAAAAATTATGCGTAACTTTATGTTGTTTNAGAACCTTGGCTAAGAGAAGAATGTCTTGGCATAGACTTGTTGAGAAGGCCAAGGCCCATCCTGGGCTGTCGTGCCAATGAGAAGAAGAAGCATTTATATCCCTGATAGCAGAATTTATGTCTGACCTCAACAGAGATTTACAGGATGCGTAGCGTTTTTAAAAAGTACTTAAAGATGCTTATTTTTGATTTTCGTTTTTTTAAAGCCCTTAAAGGTGCTTTTTTCATTGGGTGTTTTTAAAAAGTGCTTAATTTTCCCTTTACCGTCTTGATTTTCACTTCGAATTATGCAAAAAGACGCAATCCACATTGTTCTATTCAACGTTTTCGCAATTAATTCAACCCCAATCTATTTCAGTGTATTTGTCAGCGTATGAAAATACCATTCGTTTTACGTGATTCAAAACAATGCCAAAAGTTATTATTTTTTTTTTTGATGTGACGGTTAAAAGAAAATAAAACCGTCAATTATCAAAAACTTTCCAACCCTGCCAAATTATGATATTTTTTTAAAGTGCTTAAAAATATTTTTTGAGTATTTGAAAAGTGCTTAACAGGTGCTTATTTTTTGTCGAATAATTTGGCTACGCATCCTGGATTTATTTTGTAAAGATTCAGCTTAATCTAGCGTATGTAAAGTATAATTTGAAAATATAAGGCCTTTAAAAATTATGCGTAACTTTATGTTGTTTAAAATTAAGTCGAATTTTAAGCAGTGGTCAAAAACAGTGGAATAAATTCCTATATAGCGAAACCTGTTATCAAGTAGTAACAGATAAAAGACTTTTTTTTTCCCTGGTGTTCTCTCAATTCTTTTTAATTTTCATTAGAAAAAAAAGTTTAGAGATGTTTTGAAAAGGAGCATCAAGATTTCACACCATTTGTTTACTTGCTTTTTAAACAATAAAAAGGGAACTTCAATGGAAATTTATCTGCAGCATCCATGCTACGAATTTCTGCTACTTAGCTTATAGCAAACCAGTGCTTTAGACTTTGGAGCTTATAGGTCTTAAGAACCCGGGACTTCCATATTTCTGGATTCTCTTTTATTAAAAGTGAATCTCTGTTTAAAAGATAAATTCACAGTTTCTTTATCCTTCTTAATGTTCACCCGAAGATTTACAGAGCAGTTGTAGGAAGCATCTACGACAGGGCTCATGAACTATTACAAGACCTGCAAACTTACTATTCACTTTTTGTTTATGTTTTTGATATTTTTTATACTTTTTCTTTGTCCCGCAGTGAACTGATCATTAAGACACTGTTCCCAGCAGATCACCGAAGTCAAGCATCACTGGCTCCGGTCAGTGTGCGGGTGGGTGACCACTTGGATCAGTCTGCATAGGAACAGAGGGTGCGCAGTATTAGTCCTCGTTAATCTGTTCTACCGTAAAGTGCTTGACTTCTCGTGCAGGTGGTCGGGCTACCGAAAATTGTGACGTCATGTCTTCGGATCATCTTCAGGGATGTTTCCCAGACCGTTGCCAATATCCCATTATGCAGCTCTAGTTCGACGTAAATGAACTACAACAAGATACTTTTTCTTTGTTAGTTTTCTTTCCTAAATTAATTACAATAAAAGTGATATTCTTTATTGGTAGGTAATTTAATTATGAATTCTATGAATTATGAACTTAGTTCAGAAAATAATATTGAATGTGAGATGTATAAAAATTTGTATCTTGTTATTGAGTTTTTGCTCATAAAATTTTCAGGGTTTTTCACGTTTTGTCACAATTGCCCCTGTTTGATGCGCTTTAACTCTAAAGTGAAAAAACTGTATGCTCTTTTATTGCAAGCTGTTTGATTTTGTAATCAGGATACTTTATATTTTAAAGTTCGTAAGATAATTGATTGTCTTGTGATGTTTAGATGAAGATGTTCCAGAAGAGGTGTCTTTGAAAAATGATTGGCCTAAAGGATTGGTGCTTCTGGAGGAGTTTATTACCGAGGAGGAAGAAAAGGAATTATTGGCTGTGATAAACAAAGAAGACGACTTCAATGGTCTGTAATGAGCATCATATTATCTGCACAAGTATATTTTTTAAGATTGATTTAAGTATCAATAGGCATGATATTTTTCACTTTGTTTTAATCATTTTGATAATTTAAAAAGTAATTCCGAAATGGCAAACATTTAAAAGAGTGTTTGTTAAAAATAATGTTTTTTCTTTTCTCTCTCTCTTTTTTTTTTAAAAAAATTATATTTTAGCGAGTAGAAATTTTATTGAAAATTCTGATTAAGGGATTATTTACTATTTAATTTTTGTTATCTAAATCTCTTAAATTTGCTATGAGTAGTTTTATTTTTATGGTAGCAAAGTAATTTTTTTAAATTCAAACCTAAATAATTCGAATCACTGAGTATTTCATGAGATTTTTTATGTCAAAAAAAGTCGCATATTTAAAATTCGATTTCTCTTGAACTATTTGTCAGTTTTCATTCAAATTCTGTATTTTGTCTTTTAAAATTTACATTCTTTTGCATAAAAAATTTGTTAACTTGTTATTCAAAATATTTAATTTTCTATTAAATAAAAAAATAGTTGTTGATAATTATTTTTGCATGTTAAAATAAGTTTTTTGGTTTAAACTGTTTTATTGTTACTATAATTTAAAATTTTTCAGCAGCATACACTTTGTAGCAGTAATATCAATTAACTCTTCTAAAATAATCATTTCTTGTTTTCCATTTATTGTATCAATACAAATTTTAGTTTAAATGAGAGTGAGGTATTCAAATCAAAATATTTTTCAATTAAAAAATAATTAAAATTCATAGAATGAAGAAAAGGAAGGAAATGAAAAAGGCAAATGAACTGCATAAATACAAACTTATAAAATTATAAAAATATGATTTAGTCCTAACGGTTTGGAAAATAAGGAATAAATTACTTTTTTTGTCATTTATTTTAACAGGAGCTCTAAATGTAACAATATTCAAATTGACGTATTGCAGCATTAAATAAATAAGATCAAAAAAAATACTGTAAATGAGTTTAATATTTTCCTTTAATGGAATTTTTTTAAATATAATTTGAAAAATTAAATTTGAAAATTACTATAATGAATATAATTTACTACAGATGTAGGACATAGATTTATTTAATCTGGTGACAGAAAATAATTCTAAAATTGAATTGAAAACTTTAAATTTTGAAAAGCACCTCATTCTCATTTATGCTTTTGAATGTAGCGAACATAATGCATTTAACAAGCAGATAAAAATAACCTTTGAGAACCTTGAACTCTTCCAATAATTGCATTATCTTATTTTCAAAACTACAGAACCTGGGTCATTTACTTTATTTTAAGTTTTTTTGAGAGATATTAGAACTTAATTTTAAATTGGCTCACATTATTTTACAATCAGGGATGTCAAGTTTCATTCACAGTGGAAAAAACTGTTGAAAAAAATTGTCTCAGAAGAAATAGACTTCTTTTTTCATTGTTTATCATTGCAAGCTAGTTTGAACAATCATATTATTTTTTGAGCTATTTAATATATTAATTTTAAATAAGTAAAATTTTAAAAGCTGAAAAATTCTGGATTTTTTTTTTATGAATTTTTAAAAAAATAAAAAAATATGCATTGCTATATAGGTAGGTAGATAATATGCACACAATATATACATTAAAATCCAAGGCAAAACAGACATTATTTGATGTAAACAGTAAGATTACATTTATGTATTTCTTAACCGTCGTAATTTTTTTTTAGATGAATCTTCATTAAAACATAGGAAAGTCAAACATTATGGGTACAAATTTATTTATGGTTCCAATAACATCAATAAGAATCAACCTTTAGAAATGAAAATCCCGGATGTATGCATCCCTCACCTTAAAAAATTGGTTTCTTTACAACTTCTACCCAGAATACCAGATCAGTTAACTGTAAATCATTACCAACCAGGACAAGGTAAATATTTTATTATGAATTAATGTAATCATATTTGCAGACTTTAAAAGCACATAATTCAGTTTTAAAGATTAAAAAAAAATCAAACGAGTGTAATAATTTTTGTTAAAATAACTCTTGATGTCATTTACAGTTATTCAAATGCTAGAACCTTTCACGAGTTTAAAAAAAAATTTTGAAACTGAAAGACTGGGCTTTTATGAGCATAACACAAAATGCTGCATCTGTGAGAGCTATTTTAAAATGGAAAAAAAAAATGTTAGAATTAAAGATTCGAAAAAGTATAAATCACATTAAGAGCTAATTTTAACAAAATTTGTTAGAATATTAAAAAAACAAAACAAAAAAAAAGCTGAGATGTAGGCACATAATTTGTATCTTTATAGCAATATAATTTTAAATTTCTTTCGTAATTTATTATTGTACTTAGTTTGCCATAGGTTAAACTTATTTTGATGATAATAATGTTTGTTTACTTTTATCCAGCTGAGTTCAGTATTAATCTAATCTGTTTAATTGCTATGCTTTAGGCATTCCACCTCATGTTGATACTCATTCTCCATTTGAAGATGGCATAGTATCTCTCAGTTTATCTTCTCAGGTAGGGTTCGCATCTCATACAACTTTCGATCTCAGATTTTCATCTGCTAAAATACAATCTTCAAAGGATTCTATTCATGAATTATTTTCTCTTTAAGGTTGTCATGAATTTTTACTCTCCTCACGGTGAAATTGTTTCCGTTTCTCTTCCTAGAAGAAGTGCCTTGGTTATGCTAGGAGAAAGCCGTTACCTTTGGAAACACGGGCAAGCATTTTTTTTCCCTACAACTCTAGTGTATTATTTATTTTACTCTTCAACCCTATGTTTTTGATAATATTTTGATTTCTATCTCTTGGCATAGCTAGGGATTTTGCCTTCAATATGCCATTCTTTCATTTATGCATTAGACTTATAGGTTGGGCAGCTCGGAAGAGCAAGGCAGTTTGATCAGGGGTGACCTCTTGAACCCAACCTATTGACTATCAACCCATTGAACCCAAACCCTAAATTATGACTACCAGAAAAGCTTTGTAGCTGAATCAAAGTTCAGCAAACACCTAACAGCAATGTCTTGTAGTTCTTAGACTTTAGGGCAAATTTGCCCCAGATGCTCAAATTTTTGTGCAGAAAAGACTCATAAAGAATATATCAAAATGATAACAAAGAAAATTGGATACAATACCCATAATGTCTCCTGAGGGTATAGTAAGAAGACCAATAATCTTCCTCAAGCCATTCCTGCGAAGCTCTCAAAGCTCATTTTCACCAGGTAGTCACGATTTAACTCCTTAGCTTGTCTCTGACCGTCCGATTTGCGCCACTGCTCATAAGCAATTTTGCCATAGAGCTCCTGAAGAATGTGGAAGAGATTCCCAAAGCTGGTTCGGGGCCACAGAAAATCACAGAGTCTGCCTTTCCTAATTCATCTGCCAGCTCAATTCTAGAAATACCCATAAGCCTAGGCACCCAATGTTATGGGAAGAAAGATTACAAAGGACAGAAAAGCACCTAGTGCATACACACACATTCAAGTGTACCAATGGTGGAAAATGAGGGCAGGGCCTAGAAACTGACAAACGAGAACTCGCTGAAGATATAAGGGAATTGCTCAAAAATTTACATACGTAGACTATATATATTGTAGGTTAGATTTTTATTAAAAAATTAAATAATTTTAAAATATGTATTTTTGCAAGGTAACTAAGGACTAATTTTAATGAAGTAATTTTTTGTAATTGAACAAAACAGAATTTAACAAACATTGCTTACCTCCCCCCTGTGTAAAAGTTATTCTTGTATTTAATCAAATAAATCTGAAGACTCCAGCCATTTTACTGAGGACTTTTGGGTTACACATATTCAGCCGCAGACCTTTGGGTTATACACATTTAACCAGGGGACCTTTGGGTTTCTTACATTCAACCGGGGACCTTTGGGACATTTTGAAACACACTAAATAAAAGGCTACGAAGGGGTGAAGTTTTTGGTGAAGCTGTAAAAAATTGTGCATTTCATAGATCATCAACTGTACTTAGCATTTATTATATACTCAAATTTATTGAGGACTTAAAATGTTTTTAAAGAAGTGATTTTAGCCCAATATGTCTATTACAATAATAACTATAAATTCATTCTTTAGTAATTGATTTGGTTAAACATTTAATTTATTTGAAGAAATGTAATTCTTTGTCTGTGTTGCATAATCTCTTTCATTTTATTGACTCCTTAGTTTTTTTTTCCTCCAGAATATAAGATAACACCTTTGCCCATCTTTAAATGAGGGCTCCTTTTTATTATTCAAATTACAATTTTGTGTATTTTTGCAGCATCACTCCTAGAAAGCAGGACATCATTCGTTCTGAATCGTCTGGACATCTGACCCTCCTAGCTCGGTCTCTGCGGACTTCTCTAACTTTCAGGCTCACAAGAGAAGGAGAATGCAACTGTGGTATGCTTAGTTTAAATTTCATTTTGATAATTGAGCTGTTATTTTTGAAACTGAATTGAGTTCATTTGGAAAGTGGTATTGTTCCGAGGTTTTTAAGGGTTGATGTTTGAATGAATTTTAAAATATTGCTTGCCAAAAGTTAATCAATTTGGGTAATATTTTTAACGTTATAATTTGATGAAACATCAAAAGCCAACTATTGATTATTAAAATCGCAAAAAAAGAAGAAAAAACTTTTTAGTTCTAAATTGATTTATGTACTTTCAAAAATAGCAGTTCAATTAAAGATATTACATTACATTTGAGGGCCTTATAAATTATGTAGAAATATTTTTTTAATTATTTGGGCATGTTGCAAATAATCTAGAACTGAAAAAAAATATTCAAACTTGTAAAAAATATACATTTTTAATTTTTTTCTTGTTCTATAATTTTTTTCTTGTATCTGCTTTACAATATTTCAATTATCACTTTCTTAACTAAGCTACCTTATATCCATATCACAGCAATTATTAAAAATGAAATGATGTTTGTCCAAAACATTCCTTTGAACTTTGTTTTTTAATTATTTGGTCAAATATTATGTTAGCATATTTTTGGCTCATTTGTATATCCCCTACCCTTTTGTCACCAAATATAAGCAAAGATCGAGACTCCTAGCCTAGGCTTAACAAAAGAAAAGAGCTCTTTTGCCTTTTTTGTTTTGTGTTTTGATTTGTAATGGCTGATACAGGGCTGATTGTGCTCCGGAAAAATTCCGGATTTTTCGCTAGCAGTGATACGCAAGTTTCCGGAGATCGAAGGTCCAGACGTTTAAAAAAATCATTGATCGCAGAAGTTTCCGAAAATCTAATTTTCAAAGGTGGAACTTAAAAACACAAGTTATTTGTTTGTAAGGGAGAGCCAGATACTTTATAAGCTTATATTCATGATTAATATTCATTTTTTATCAGTAAATAGTTGTTATAATCATTAACTTAAGAAAAAGAAAGACATATTTGTAAATTTTAATTACTTCTCCAGGTCATCATAGGTATATGTAAATGGTATAGGTATGTGTAAAATTTTAAAGTAAACCAGGAAATATTGAGAAAAAGGGAAAAAAAACTTGCTTAAATTTTTTTCTAATTCTTCAATTTAAACTGTTTTTTTTTTTTTCCTTTTCTTTTTTCCTTTTCATTTTAACTCATGAAATTTTCCGGAATTTTGACTTGGGCTCACAATCACCCCTGAAAGATGGAACTTAAAATCACAGTTTATTTTATTCGTTTGTAAGGGAGAGCCAGAGAGATATTTTATAAGCTTATAATCATGATTAATATTCATTTTTTATCAGTAAATAGTTGTTATAATCATAAACTCAAGAAAGAAAGACATATTTGTAAATTTTAATTACTTCTCCAAGTCATCATAGGTATGTGTAAATGGTATAGGTATGTGTAAAATTTTAAATATATTTTAAGTAAACTAAGAAATATTGGAAAAAAAAAACTTGTGTAAATTTTTTTCAATTTAAACTTTTTTTTCTCCAGAATTTTGACTTGGGCTTACAATCACCCCTGCTAATCGAAAGCTAATTTCAGGATTAAATTCAATTAAAAGTGTGTGTTTACTTTAAAAAGAGAATTTATATTTAATTCCTTTTATAAGAGTTTGAGTATAATATTAGTTAAAAAATAAAGGATATATAGTAAATTCGCTATAACTCGAAGTACGATAACTCGAATATTGCGATAACTCGATTTTTTTATGAGGTCCCGACCCTTTTATCTTCAATTTCATATTAATTATTCTCTATTACTCGAATTTTACTCCCTTTAACTCAATTGTTTTGGGATCTTTTAAAGCAAGAAACAAAACCTAGGACCTGATATCTTGCCCCTTCCTTTGCAACACACACACAATGTCTTTGGCACTCTTCATGTAGAAGCTAAAGCTGTTTAAAGAAGTTTATTTTTTAAATGTTTTCCAAATAAGACTATGATGTTGAAGGATGAAAACTGCTCCGGGGGTAAAATGAGCAAGGAACGTTTGACTGTCCTAGTAGGAGGAAATGCGTCTAGGACAGAGAAATTGCCCTTACTTGTTATTGGAAAATACCGAAATCCCCGATGTTTCAAGAATGTAAAAACGTATCCTTTGGATTACAAGTCTAACAAAAAGTTTTGGATGACATCAGTTTTATTTGAAGACTATGTAAGAAAATTGGATCGGAAATTCTTCGCTAAAAAAAGAAAAGTGATACTCTTTATGGATAAATGCACAGCGCATAGTGATCTACCTAATTTGAAAGCAGTAAACTTGCAGTTTCTCCCGCCAAACACAACAGCAAAGTTGCAGCCGATGGACCAGGGTATCATAAAGTGCTTCAAACAATCTTATCGTAAATGGCTTGTCAGAAAAATGATCTTAAATATTGTAAGCATTTAGAAGATTTGTAATTACGTTATGAGCATTAGTTAAATAATTCGACAATATATTGAAAGTCCACAACCAAAACTAACGGTAAGTCGAACTTCCGATATGTCGAAGTTTTTCGTCAGTCCTTCAGATTCGAGTTATCGCGAATTCACTGTATTTAGTAGAATATTATTTTTAAGAAACGAGGCAATAGCATTTGGTTCCGATCTTTATACTTCTCTGTATGAAAAATGTTCTTTTGTAAAATAATAAACTAATGGATTCAAATAAATTCACAATATGATGTTCATGCGTCCATTTCCTAAACCACTTTTTTTAAATTGCTAGGTTTTTTTTTTTTAAATTGCTCTTTTTTAAGAAAACTATAATAGTCAACAAATTTATAATATTGGTATTAACTTTACATTGTATGAATTCAGAAATTTAAAAACTACTATATCATTTACTATTCTGAAAAAAATTTGAAAAAATATATTAAAAAGCCAGTTTTTGTGCATTTTAGAAAATTCCCTAAAATTTTGTAAGTTTCCTAAAAAAGTCCATATTGAAATAGAATTTTTGTACAAATTATTACTTATTTGAATATTTAAATCTCATTTATAGAAATCAGTTGAAAACTTTTTTTTCTTCTAAAATGTTCATTATATTGAACTCCCTTTTTAAATAAAGTAAAAAATCTTCAAACTATCTTTGAGGAATTAAATGTCTATCATTATTCAAAATTATGAGTAAACATAATAGTACATAACATTTCAAGTATATTTTATGTCAACCCTAATTGGAAAACACTGAAGTTTTTTTTTTTAATGACTATAAAATTCCCTATGTGTTGTTGTTTCCAATCCCAGCTGGGATAGCAGAGCTATACCAGATTCATGAGGCCGTGAGTCTTCAAAAAATCGAGGAAAAGGAGAGGTCTCTCTAGAACCTCTTCCATGGTGAAATCCAGGCAATCAAGTAGATGGCGAGGACTAGCCTCGCTGGAGTTGCACTTTTTACAAGTTGGAAAAAGTTTAATTTGTCCACTGAAAGTGAGGCTCTTAGTATGCCCACTGTCAAATCTACAGGTAGCGGTTTGGTCGGCACGTGTACCCTGAAGGTCAAGAGCTCCTCCAGAACGCTTGCGGGAATACCAATTGTGATCCGGTGGAACAAGCCAAGCTTTATTAACTTTAGATTTGCGGATAGAAAATAATTCAGAGTAAGTGAGTGCTGTGTTTGGAGAGACTGGGAGGGAAGTACCTTCTTTTGCCAACTGATCAGCACGTTCGTTGCCAAAAAGACCCACGTCCTTATGTGTGAAATTTTTAGTACATTATGCAACAATTATCATGAAATTTATATTATTTTGTAAAATCTACTGGATTTTTTTCCTATCTATGTTTACAGCTAAGCATATATATACGTATATATATATATATACACGCACTATTTTTTCGTTAATATGTTTGAGTGAAATTATAGTTCTTTCTTTTTTAGAATATAAAGAACATTGTGATTCAAAAATATCCACATAACAATTGGGAAACAAAGCTGCTGGATATAAATGAATGCAAGTGTGAAATAGGAAGAGAAATCATTATATTGTCATTTATCAATTTTATTTATTTTTACAGACTATGTTACATTATTAACAGACTATTTATGTTACAAAGTATTTATTTGTAAACTCATGTTTGTGAAAATTGCATCACCATGAAGGACTTATGCGAGTGAGCTGAAATTTTCAGGAAATGCAAAGTAGAGCATAATATGTAAATGATTAGAATTTCAGACCCGTAGCGCATGCGTATGCTGAGCAGCGCCCTCTGAACGGCGGATGGAACCGAATAAATAGACGGCTGTAGCTAGGTGTGTATGGTTATCGGTGGTTATCTGCTAGTGGTAAACGTTTACTTAGGCGTTACTTATGCCTCTTCGACGAAAGAGAGCGAGATTTCAACAACTTACAGAGTTTGAAAGGGGGAGAATCAATCGCCTTTGTGAAGCTGGATTGTCTCATCGTGCAGTAGCTGCTCGTGTGCAGTGTAACAGCAGCACAGTGATGCGTGTTTGGAAGCAGTGAACGGACGAGTGTCAGACAACTCGGAAATCCGGGAGTGGACCCCGAAATGTCACGTCAGCTCGCGATGATAGACACTTGGTCCATATGGCGCTGACGCACCGTACGGCTCCCTCTAGACAACTGGCAGCACAGTGGTTCATAGCTACAGGTGTTTCATTGTGTGCTTCATCAATTCGTAGACGTCAACTGCAGCGTGGACTGCACGCAAGGACTCCTTTATACAGGATCACCCTCACGCTAAACCATAGCCGCCTGCGGCTACAATGGGCCAATCAGCATAAGGACTGGCGTGCTGATTGGCAGCATATCGTGTTTTCTGACGAATCCCGCTTTAATTTGTGGTACCATAATGGCCGCATTCGTGTCAGACGCTATGCCTGTGAACGCCACCTT